GTCCTCTATGTTCTAAATGATGAGCACTTTGATCCTATTAGTTCAATTTCATTCCTTGAGGTCCCTGTTTCGACTTGTCTTCTCACAATATAGTCCCTCAACTTTCATAAAATATTCACTTAAGTCTAAAAACCTCTATTACCATGCATTCAAGTTCTCTTTTGCACTAAAATGAAGATTATGTAAAATTCATTAAAAATCACACCCGATTCATCCAAATTGCAATAAAGTCAAAACTAGAATTAAAGATTAAATCATATAGAATGCATCTGATCATTATTTTTGGAATGATACAGTACATGGATACTGGAGAAAGAAGAAAAGAATTAAAATGGAATTAGTTCTAATTAAGAAGCTTTCTGAACAAACAAAAATGGTCCAATTAATTATCAAAGAAGCTCGTCCAGTATTGTTGATTTCTTACCCATAGAGAAAAGGATAATTTCATCGTTATCTTCTATATGGCAATTTTTACCCATTCCACATTCACAATAAAATGGAGAGATAGGAAGAAGATCAATTTACATTTAATTATGTGAAAATGAGGCTTGAAAGTTCAATTGTGCTGCATCATATATACCTGGTCAAATAATCTAAAATTGTTGGCTCAAGACAATATGAGTTTCCAAATGTTGGCTTTGCCTAAGAACGTCATTTAGAAAGCTCATTTGTGGCTTTCATCAATATAGATAATTCTAATGTAAAGTTGAACTCTTCAATCCCTTTCCAACAAAACAACCTGAAAAGGTTAATGAAATAAGAAACCATTTTGGAGGCAATTGAATGCATTTTTTCAGATAAAGAAACTGAAAGGAAATGCAAGTCTTGGAACTTCATCTGGAAATAGAGGTGCCAGAAACAACATATATGAATTGCATAGTGCATAAGTTTTTACTTAATCCAAGGGTTAACTTATCACCCAGAATGCCTCATTTTACATATTTTCCTTAGGACCAAAAAAAAAAAAACATTTTCAAATGCAAATATTAACTGTTACTCTTAATTTAAATATCTAACAGAAACTGATTACAAGGTACTTAACTCATAATCGAAGCTGTTACTAACACTGAGCTTCTCTACTATTTTCTTGTGTTAACTTTTCAGAGGTGATGTGCAGCACTGTTGATGACTTGATGGTATATACAAGTCCAATTATACTCCATCACCAAGAGTCCAATACAGATAATAGCTTGAACTTGAATATGGAATAGAAAGATAACAATGAGCTTTTCAAGCTTGGGGATGCATGGATAAAAAACCAATCTATGTATAATACACTGTTCCAAAGAGGCTTACCAAATACCACACTCAACAAGTATTCTTCTTCTCTCTGTACCCAATTAAACGGAAAATAATCAAACTCAACAACAAAGTTTCTTCTACTTTAGGAAACAACAGAGGTTGTACACAACAATAAATCATCAAGAATAAATTCTTGGATCACTAATGTCATAGTCATCACCATAATAAAGCTGGAAGTCAAAATCTCCCATCAAATTGGGATAAATCTCACCAAGTGTGCTCAGTGTGTTCCAAGAAGAACTGGAGACCAAATCACTGTTGATCATCTGGCAGAACTAACTAATCTACTGAGCTTACTTGCTGCTGTCGCAACTCACCCTCACCGTCTCTCTACTGTTTTTGCAATGATGATCAAAACCAGCAACTAGCCATTATTTAAAGCTCCCCTGACTTGATATATTTCAAAGTCCAAGCCCCATGCAGTTCATGTGTGAGTTCATGAAGACTTCTCTCAACACCACATGGAAGGATATATACAACAAAGGAATCCTGAAGAAATAAGAAATTAATTGAAATGGTTAGTTAACATAATTGAGTATGGCATAAATTAGTCTAATAATAAGTCCACCGACCACTAATAACTTGGATTCTAAATTTCAAAATTTGCACATATTAAAGAATTAAAACATGACAATGCACCTTGAAATGATTTTCACGTAATGCTGCCTCGAAGCATTACTCCATCCACTTTCATAAATATCCTTGAATTGTCCTTGATTAAGCGAATTGATCAGGGGAAGTTACAAGAAAAACTCAAAGAAAATCCATGTCCTGCAAAAGTGAATTAAAGCTTAGCATTATCTTGATGAAATGATAGAGACTCTCTCTGAACAACTGAGGGATGAGAAGATGAAGCCTGCCTTACCAAAGAGAGCATTCTTTGGAGGGTAGACGGTTGTAGCTGCAACTATGAGTCTATGACAGATTTTGTGAGCACCACCATTTTTCATTGAGTTAGATCTTGAAGCTACGTTGCAAGTCCATCCATTGTTAAGTAAAGCAGCAGTTAAAGCAACTGTGTTTATGCCGTAATCTTGGTTGTGACTTAAGATGAATGAAGAGGGAACACAATGCACATTGTTGGATCATTCATTGCTAACTCATCATACATACCAGAAGCTTCACCTCTTGCATGAAAGGAAGCATTAATATCAAAGCATCCAGCTCCTACTTGTTGAAAAAAGAACTTGCCTAATAAGTGAAGCTTAAACTTGGAATCTTGGATCAATCACCTTTTAACTAATCCTGTAGTTGACTTGAAAATAGCAAAGGGTTTAATCAGATGCTGTAAGATAAAAAAAGGACAAGAACTAATTATAAGTTGGGCGTTACACAGTTTCAGGGAAGCAAACACTAAAATTATGGGAAATGTGATGATAAATAAGAACAAGATGGGGGAGAGGCAAATAAGGGAACATGTGGACACTAAGTTGGACTAACTTCTTGATATCTACCTAATTTCCATGCATTGGAATCAAAATTAAGATAAAAAAAATACATATATACAAATAGCTGGTAACACAAATACAAAACAAATCAGAGTCAATTACATCAGCAAAATGTATCACTTTGCAAATGATGGATAGAGATATCATGATATATAATTCTTCAAAATATATCACTTTTTGCTTATCCTAAAAATTAACACAACCAAGAGAAATAGGCAGCATGATAAAACTTTAGACAGGTTATTTGGTTACTCACAGAATATGTAGCTTGACATGATTAGAATACAAGATTGTTTAATTCAGCAATGGTGACATCCGTTTTCTAGTTCCAGCTAGCAGAAAAATCTAATCTGTACAAAGGCCAGTCCAAATGGAAAAACACCAAAAAACATGTGGCAGGAAAGGAGGGTACCATTGAGAATATCCTTCTGAATTAAAATTCAATTATTGTTTCAAAACTCTCCCCAATTCTTCAAAATGGAAAGCATGAGGTTCTGCAGTAATGAATTCAAAATTCGAACGGGTTGGCTTGCCTAGGAACCTCATTTTTCAACTTGCAAGCTCATTCGTGGTTGTGGCTTTATCAATATATTTGTGAATTCCCGTAATGCCAAGGCCAACCGCTCATCCCCTTTCAAATAATCTGAAAAG